CAGTAGCTTCATAAAATATAACTTATGTTCTCCCGGCATATGAGACGACGCTAATCATCTGTTATCACACTAGTATCTTCAACTCTAAATGGTCGAAAAAAAATTTGCTTCCTATGTCTTTCGGTGATGAATGATGCAATATATCACTTTTTTTTCTCCTTCCTCTGTGTTCTGAGTGGATCACACAGGGCTTCACACTTGAATCCTTAAAATTTGACTAACTGTGGTATTGTTTTAACGGAGTGATGTGGCTAACCTTACCCCACTTCTTCTGATTACGGCTTGATTCCACAGCGTATTTTTGGTACAAGTATGGAATTTTCAGCATGGATGTCGGTAGCCCAAATTTAGCAGGCCGACCATAGATATCAGGTGTGCGTGCGTCGGCAGGAGATTGAACCTCAGACCATGTGCATGGTCGGCGAGAGTCCCAACCACTGTGCTACCGATGCTATCGTACTATCGGCGATTAACTTGGTAAGGTCTAGGAGTGCATCGGCTGGAAGTCGAACACCGGACCTCGTAGTGGGGGGGGGAGGTAGGCTAGCATTCTAATACTGAAAAACGGACGTACTAGTCATATTGTATTGCGAATGAAAAATTCAGTGGTTGGATCTTCACACTTTTTTATTTTACCATATTTTACAAGCTACCAGTGTTTGGAAGGCGATATTTTCTGTTTGCCTCATTATTATATATATATATATATATTTCATGTGTGATGTGTTAATAGACTGAGTGCATATCCTTCGCATTTTGCTTTTTTTCATCATCTTATAACTGTCTCACTGAATAAATAAAATTTGGTCAATTTAATTCTTCTCCATCATTATCTTCTTCTTTAGAGATTTTCCATTTATTTTTGTTTATTTTATCTATTTAATCTTCTCTCCCTTGATTTTTCACTTTTCTTTAACATTTGATTGGCTAAATAGGTCGTCTTTATCGATCTCACAAGAGGTAAAAAAGTAGTCCTCCTCAAGTGATATATATATATATATGTACATATATTTAGCAATTATTTCTATTAAAACCAAAGGAAATGAAAACAATCCAATTCTCATAAACTACAAGTTAAATAATAAAGATGTGTACTTGAAGACTTAGCAAAAGCCAATTTGTAACATTCTCTCTACCCCATTGCCTTCAGCCAACGTGTTTAGATTAATGCTTGAGAGTGTGAATTGAATTAAGCTTGTAAAATACAGCCTTCACCTTCACTGATTTTCTAAATGTGTGTCACATCAAATTAAGTGATAGTTTATTGGGTAGGATCTAATCAGCACACGTACAAGTAGGGTGTTAGCTTTTTTTTGATTTATTTTAACACAAATGTGATGCTAATGGGAGAATGTTTTTTTTTTATCAAAGGCATATCATGTGATATAATAATCTGGAGTTGTCGTGTTTAGACCTATTTACTGTACCCAAATAAGGTGTATGTCATGTTATGCTTATTTTTCTTCTTTTACTTCACTTTTTCTTGAAGCATTTTTCTACAGTTATCATTCTCCAGCTGACAAGTCCCAAATAGGACGAAATGCGCATCCTGGATTCCACTGCTAGCCACCATCCACCAGTTGTATACCAGTTATCATTCTCATTCATCCACTCACTCACTAATGAAGTGAAATTTGATTATTGTGTTTTTAAAAAAAAATTAAACTGGTTCCTATAGTTTGGTTTGTAAGGGTTAGTTATGTTTTACGAGCTGATAACAGATTGATATCAGTTAGAGAACCATTGAAAATCAGGGAGTACTGGACAGCTGCTGTTTCATCCTAGTCTGGGAATCATCGGAAGTGCGCACCCACTGGGATTCGAACCCAGGACCTTCCGGTTACAAGGCAAGCTCGTTGGGGTCGCGCTAAATCGCGAATTGGTAGAAGTTAGAATTCATGAGCCATTGAATCGGGTCCCAGTGGCTGAATGGTATACGAGCTTGCCTTGTAACCGGAAGGTCCTGGGTTCGAATCCCAGTGGGCGCGTACTTCCGATGATTCCCAAACTAGAATGAAACGGTAGCTGTCCAGTACTCCCAGGTTTTCAATGGTTCTCTAACTGATATCAATCCGTGATCAACTCGTATAAACTGGTTTTGTTTAAATTGTATGCCTGTATTATATTTTTTGTGTCGCCTAGTCTGAATTCGATCCTCTTCGTCATCAATGTTGGTTAGTTTCTTTTTGATGAATCCCGAGAAAGTTGAATGTCTTGTTTGAGGGATTAACTTTTACTCCTTTGGTCAATCCTTCGATTGGCTTTTATTATTTTCAGTCTAACCAAGTGGAATCCCCATCCATATATGTTGAATTTTCGGCTTTTATTTATTTATTTTTTTGATGTTGGCTTTAAAAAGCAGTAGAAGTCACGAATCCATCGAAATGTTAAAAAAAAGATTTTGTTTGGCGGTTGATTTCTTTTTGACTTAACTATTTAAAAATACATTATCTAGACATGTCATGTGCTTTTTTGATAAAAAAAAATAATAAGGGAATGACAATATATCTAATTGCAATTAGTATTACGCTTTTAGTAGTCTCGAATTTTCCAAATAAAATGAGTTCTTTTTGCGTGTTGCCTAACTGTCATCCCTTTGATTAGGTACAGTTTCATGTAAGAAGAGATTAATGAAAAGTTGGTTCAATATTCCTGTGGTATAAATAATGTTTTTTTAAGAGCGCATACCTTACCTCTAGTTATTATTGCTACCAAATCGCGTCATCTTGGGGGAGAATAAAAGATGCATGGGATGCAGATCTTCACCGGCTCGGAACAAGCTGGATTCAGGAAAGAGACAAATCGTATGCTGATCAAATTGCAACTCTACGCATCAACGTCACGGAACAAAGCATAGAATGGCAATCAAACCTCTACCCCTTAACTTCATTGTCTTTGAAAAAGCCTTTGACAACGTTGAAGGAGAAGTAATTTGGAAACTAATTCAACACTATGGCTTGCAGCACCGCAAGTCTTTATCAACCTCATTCAACGGCTGGCTATATGACAATACTACCACTTGTCAGTTGATTCACAATGGAAAACTCAGCCAGGTGTTCGAAGTGAATAGAGGAGTAAGACAGGCTGGCTGCCTATTATCACCGATGATATTCTTAATTGTAGTGGACTGGAGTATGCGTCAGACCGTGAGGAGCGAGGAGATAGCAATACGTTGGACGAGCGATAAGGAGACTCTAGAAGATTTGGATTTCGCAGATGATGTATATCTGATGTCACACAAACTCGAAAACTTAGAGGCAACATCAACAAACTGTGCGAAGAGGCAGCAAAGACAGGACTGCAGATGAACATATAGAAGACGGAGGTGATGAAGATAACCACTGAACAGCAACAAAAACAACAACAAACAGCACCAGTCACCATCAACGGGGGAGATTTGACAGAGGTCACCTCCTTCACTTATCTAGGAAGCATCGTTTCAACTACAGGCACTTGGCACGGATGAGGTTGTCAAAGCCAGCCAGAATCGGAAATGCAAGATACGCCTTCATCAACCTGAAACCAGTTTGGAAATCTTCTGCACTCCATAGCATAAAGAGCAAGATTCGGACTTTTAACACATGTCAAGTCGGCCCTTCCATACGGGTCAGAAACTTGGACTGCGTGTCAAGAAAAGAATTTCCAACAGGTTACAGACTTTCAAAAACAGCTGCCTTCGCCGGTTCCATAGTGAAGGATTATTAACAAGAAACTCTAGCTGGAAACAAACCAATCAAGAGCCGATCGCTCAACAAATATGTAGGAGAAATGGAAATGGATCGGGCATACATTGAGGAAGTCGTCGAATGACAACGCGCACCAAGCCATCGCTCGAGTGGAATCTAAATGGGAAGCGACGAGTGGGTCGCCAATGCGAGGGTGACATGGAGGAGATCGTATGAGGAAGAGATGAGAGCTTGGGCAATCGTGAATCCAGCTGAAGAGGATGGTGGAAAATAGAACAAAATGAAGATGTGTCGCTGAAGCTCTATGTTCCACTCGGAACCCAAAGGAACAATAAAATAATAATAAAATACCGATTTCATATTTTTCCCTAAATGGGAAGGTATGCAGTTCAATTGTAAAGTGGTCTAACTTTTGCAGTTGATGAATGCTAGAAGGAATTGTGTTTCCTTTAATGTGATTATCAATACAATGAAATTAAAAGAAGTGTTAGTCCACTTCTTATTTGTCAGTAATTGTGTATGGATTGATATTCTCATTGGCTGTTGACATGTTGATTAGTTGTCTTTTTGGGTAAAGAGGCCTCAGTGCTTGATCATGAACTGACTTCAATTAGGGAACAATTGAAAACCAGGTAGTAATGAACAGTTCTTATGTCCTAGTTTCTAACTTTTCATCTGTACGCATCCATAACTCTATGAGAAATTGAACCCGCAACTTTTAGGTAATAAGGTGAACTCGTTGATGATTCAACTATACGCGCAGTTATTGGTTCAATCCCTGTGGCTGCTGCATAATCAAATCCCAGCAAACCAGCACTTGAATAGCTCAGTGTACTAATCCATGACTCTGAAGGTGTATTTCAGTGATAAGTTTGTTATAATACACTGGTTGATAAATGGCAATCAAGACTTGTTATTTTAATGATAAGTTTATCGAAGATTATCTACAAGTGCTGATCATTCATGGCTATTAGCATGTAAAACTACTCATATGAGACTATGCAGGTGAATTTTACAGGCTAAAGTATCTATCACCTGTAGTTGTGACTAATCGACGACTTCATACTAAAAATAAATCTATATATACTACAATACCGTGACATATTTCAAGTCTATTCTAAATTATACCGAAAAATGAAGCATGCTTAATATTCAGTTGTTTGAATTAAAGCTCAAAAGAAAGATAAAGATCATGTATCGATTCACGATTGGTATATTTGTATATCTGTTGCTACATTTAGTTTGACTGATATATATATATATATATATATATATATATTTATGCACTTGCTTTCTTTTCTTCGTTTTTACTAGCTTGCTCAAAAACACGCTTCGGAAAAAAATAACACTGGTAATCAGTATGGTAAGTGATTATTGCTCTATGTACAACAATTCACTTCGCTATATATTACTTACCGTATTTATTCATTTGTTATAATTTGTAACTCATGCAACTATGTAGGATAATCTGTAGAAGAAGACTTAACTTTACCAAATAATTTTGATTGTATTTAATGGCAGTTGAAGTTGTATAGTTTGTTGTATTTCTTCAGATTGTTAGTTCACAAGCCTCTATCCGTTATCTTGCGCCTAATACTTCCAATCATCGTCTTAAAAGGTGTCGTATTTTTCGACTACTTGATTTTATTAGTCGAGGTCGAATGACTGTCCACTTTATTTTAGATAGGGGCCACAGCTAGTGGGCTTATGCATCATGCCTAACAAAGTAGCGCTGGAAATGACGCCTAAACTGATGTTGGAGACGACGACCATTGTTCTCAACATGCTGAGAATCAGCGGTGGGTGGCTCAATCTGTTTCGAAACTACGCAGGTGTATTTGTGTCAGTTTTCTCCCTGATGACATAAAAAGCTGTTGGCGGCGAAGCACCTACGCCCCCCAACTAGATCAAGACACTGAGTTCCTGTCTAAGCAAGAAACAGCGAAACGGGTATTTGAGATCGACAACAAGATTCCTCTGGAGGAAGTCTGGCACAGTATACAGTTGGCTGTGGATACAGCTGTAAAGGCTGTTATTGACCTTAAACCGAAAGGTAGTAATGCTAGTGGATTTCCACCACTGCATCCGAAATGATTAACGCGAGAACACTGATTCTGGCGAGTTCCGAATATGATGGGGAGCGAAAGCTACTCAAACCCAAACTAACAGGAAGTCTCTGTGACGACGGTGAATAGTGGTGGGCGACAAAAGCGAAAGAGATGGAAAAGGCATCGGCGATAGGTAACACCAGACAACTATTTAGATTTGTCAGGGGAACAGGTGGTAAAAGGCAAATGATAAGTGAAACAATATCTGAGAAAAGTAGCACCATAATTAGCTCCCAGGGTAGACGATTGGAACGCTGGAAAGAACACTGTGAGGAGCAGTTTAATTAGCCTAGAGCCACGCTCAACCTGTCGAACATCCAATACCTCCCTGAATGGGATATAGACACAGGTCCTCCTTCCTTAACTGAGGTTACTAAAGCTGTCACTGATCTGAAACAAGGCAAAGCAGCGGGACCTGATGGAATGACTCCAGAGGTATTTAAGTACGATGGAGACAGTTTACTGTCTGCATTAACTGAGGTACTAGGCAGCGTCTGGGAATCAGAAGAAGTCCCATCGGGTTGGTGTAAGTCACTGATTATCCCGATATACAAGAAGGGAGACAAGTCTTCGTGTGATAATCACAGAGGGATTAGCTTGACTAATATAGTATCTAAAGTCCTAGGCTCAATAATCATGCGTAGACTAAGTGGTGCTCGGGAAGCACAAACACGAGAGAGCCAGACAGGCTTTAGACCAGGAGGAGGGTGTATTGATCATATCTTCACCCTCCGACAGATTCTAGAACATAGGCATTCCTACCGGCGTCCAACAGTCATTATATTTCTTGACTAAAGGCATCATTCGATTCTGTCGACCGGGAGGTACTCTCGTGATGTTTGGCTGTGAAAGAAACGCCGAGAATATACATTGCAGTGATCAAAGCACTCTACTCGAACTCATGCTGCCAGGTGAGAGCCTACAGGGAGGGGGGAAGAGTTGTCATCTGAAGTGGTGACGACTAGTGGTGTCCGTCAGGGATGTCCATTATCCCCAATTCTATTCCATTTCATCATAGATGTGTTAATGGACTTAACCCTAACTGACTTCAGTGACTCAGGGATTGACTTGTTACCATCAAGAAATAGCAGTCTCGTTGACTTAGAATATGCAGATGATATAGTCCTGCTCCTAGGTGAAGACGCTAACAAAGTGCGGAGTCTTCTAAATATCTTGAGCAGAAATCTTCGAATGTGTGGCATACGATTCGCACGTACTGTCAAATGTAAGATGATGATGCTACACCGCTGGACTACTTCTATACCTAGCTTGGTGATAGGGACTGAAGTGGGGTTGGCCACTTCACTTATTTGAGAAGTTGCGTCAGCCCCAGCAGGCTGATTTTTGACGTAATCTCGGTACGAATAAGAAAGCTTGTGTGACATTTGTCAACCAACTTTCACCATCTCTAGCGTAGACCTGAAATTCGGCTATCGGTCAAGGGACGTGTGTACCGCTCTGCAGTTTTCCCCATCTTCTTTTTTAGGTGTGAAACATGGCTTTTGAGAATGGATGACATGAAAAGGCTAGTTTGTTTTGATTGTAGGTGTTTGCGTTCCACTCCCAGTGTTAGGTAGTATAATAGGGTAATGTTAAGGTTAGGCATCAAGTGTTAGGTAAGAAGGGAAGTTTAGTCGATCAGGGAACGAGGATAAATCCATTGAGGTGGCTGGGGGATGTGTTACTCATGCTTAGTCATCTCCTTCCTCAACGGGAAATGTTAGCTGACATAGGGTCAGGATGGAAAAGAGCTAGCAGCGGTCAAACCAAAACATGGCTCCAGTCAATGAAATGCGCGACAGTCAGTTTAAGCCACGTAGGGAGGTGTATATTGACTTCCTCTTTGGAGTCCTCGGGATGATAAAAACCCATGAAAGCTGGAGACAATTGGTGATATAGTTCGAAATCGTTCTCAACTGCGCAGACACATTCACCTTTTGTGGTTTATATTACCCAATAAAATTCTATTGTATTTCTGTATTACTATTCTTTTTGCTGCATATATCTGATTATTATCTCTCTTTACTCTCTTCTGTTGCTCTTGTGCTACATGAAGTGTGCCAACTGGAGCTGCTGCACATATTTGCAGAGCTGTATGTGAATAATTAAACAGTTGGACCGCTTAATCGTGCGTAATAAGCAATAGTAGGCGCAAGTAAAACATTAAATCCATATTTAGCGTCAGTCAGTTCATCGCATTCAGCCTTACAGTAGTACAATGGGATGCGACAAATGTGACTGTAAATGATTAATTTCTTAGACTAGAAGAAATGATTGATATGTCAAACTGTGTCTGTTCACTCACTGTGAAATGCTTTCAGAAGTTACTGTTCAGTAAATACTCCAGACATCTTGAAAGTTCTTTCTTAAAAACATAGAAAGGCGTGGAATTACAAATACAAAAATAGTTTTTGGTGATTTAATAGTTATCTTTGATATGACTATGGAAAGTAGATTACTTTTTAAAACCATTAGTTATACTGATTTACAAATTACCATGGAAGTAGTCTTGATTTCCTTCCGCATTTAAGTTGAAGTAAATAAATGTTTGCCTGTTACACTCAGATTTTGTACGTCGGTGGTATAGCGGTTAACACGCTCGCCGACCAGGGGGTTTGATCCCTGGTCAACGCACTCCTTCACCTCTCTGAGCCAGAAATAATGCTGGTAAAGAGGAAAGGTTGGGCATGAGGCTAGCAACCACATCCTCTAAAATAAAGCACTACTACAGAAACCTCAAGCCATTAGCTTGGAGCCCTATATTCCGCTGGGAACGTGAAGGGAAAAAAGCTCAGATTTTAAGCGAATCAAATTGGACAGAAATTAAATGTATTACATAACGTCATAATATAATTATATATATCCAAACCAAGTTCACTTTTAACGGTTTGAAAAAATTTGGGCATTGGGTATATGATATTCATTATAATAGAGGTTTTTTGTATTTCCCAATGAATGAAAAACCTCTATTATAATGAATGTCATAATATAATGTTTCTTTCTATATTGTTATCTTCAATTCCCATTTAAATAATATCAGGTGGAGATGATTCAGAGCTATCACCAAGTCCACCTTCTGGCTTAAAGTCTAACGGATTAATTTCTCATGGTAAAAACAAAACTAATGGCAATTCCACGTACATGTCTTCACCATCGAATGGTGGAAACAGTCCATCGTCACCAAATATTCCTTCTAATATCCCTAGTCGTCGAGCTCATTTCACACCGGGTGCTGATGGTGAGAATATTCAAGTGAAGTCTACAAATGATGAGGAGAAATCAGTGTTCCAACGAAATGCGCCAAAGTCTCATTCTCAAAAACGCGTGGTCGCTTATTGCACTGCTATGGAGTCAATAAAGGCGAGTTCTGAACCTGTTGAATTAGAATCCGAAGAACGTGAACTTATACCGTAAGTCACGTGTTATCTACGATTGATTTGTAACCTTTCAGTGTAAATTGTTGCATGTTTGTTTTGAAAAAACAAATAAGTATCCAGAATTATCAGAAAATAATTCTGTATAAGTGGGGAATACAAGAGATTATTTATCTTATTTTTTAAAGTCCCAAGTATCTTACTTAATATATGACTTCTCTTTCTGTAAACTGCAAACACCTATTCAACTTCATTTTTAATTAAGTGAAAATATTAGGACTCTAATAGTATAAAAGAGGGAATCTAATTCCACACTACAAAACTCTCATTAAGTACTAATCTGTCTATGAAACTCCTAACGTGATATGGTATCACATGTACTTTCGTTTGCTTATAACTCAAAATCAGTCATTGCAACTGGTGATCAGAGATATGGAAAATAAGTGTGAAATGTTTGTGACTTTGGGGGGAGATTAACTGGAGATGAAGAATGTAACTGTATACATATACGATTTCTTGGGTTGTTAGGGACGGTATGGTATATTCTGCTATATTGCCTTATCGGAGCGCTCTTGGACACAATGATAATAATAATAGCAAATGGTCGACCTATAATTTACAAAATATGTTTTTTTTATTTTGTTGTTAATCATAAAGTATTTGTGTTCGGTCTATTTCGGTACTGTGTTAAACAATTTAGATTTATTTGATAGTTGTACGAAGCGTTCTGCTCTATAATGGAAAAACTAAGTTTGTTATCCGTCATGCAGAGAAAGCAATCCGATTATATTTTCTGTTTATTGTGGTGCTACTTATAAGTAATTGAGTGGTTTCTATAACATTTAGTCGGGAGTATTGACTTTTCTCTAGTTGGTGGTGCTATTTCTCACTCTCAAAAAGATATTTCTTATATTAATACTTTCACTATCGTCTTTTAGTCTTTCTAATAGTGTAAACTGTTATTTTAATTTAGATAAAGCAATAAGAAGACGCAATTTGTCTGGGTCATGTAATTTATTTGCGCAACAGATTTCGAACAATCTGATAAAACACAGACTTGTCATAGGAATATATATATGAAATTAATAAACAGTTAATAGGTGGGAAAATAGACTTATGTTAAGTTGAAAGTACATACTGAAGGTCAAAATAACAATGAAGACCACTAAACGAAATAACAAACGTAATAGTACACCTGCCCTGACTGGTATCAAAACAAAGTTTACCAAGGAAGGTTTAGTGTTATGATGAATTGTTGTTTTGAACGCATACAGGTGGTTTAAACTTTCTAATTGCTATGGCTTCCACAAACTTTAGGATACTCCCCAAACACGTTTTATGGAGGGATAGGTTTAAAAGGTGTGTTAACGTCAATTTTGTGTCCTTTCTGTATAATATGTTTCGGAATAGAGGAGCTAGGTCTCCTGTTCTCATCATTAATGGGTTCTGAAGGTTCTGTTGTTTGGTTTAGTTGTCTTCATTGTTAATCTGACCTTCAGTATGTACTTTCAACTTGACCTAATTCTATTATCCTACCCCTTAACTGTTTATCAATTTCATATATATTCCTGTGACAAGTCTGTGTGTGATCAGATTTTTCGAAATGTGTTGCGCAAATACAACATTACACGACTCAGAAAAATTGCGTCTTATTGCCATGTCTAAATTCATACAGGGAAGTAATTGTTTTAAATGTTATTTTAGTATTCTTTTATGATTGACAAACATTTAAAGCCTTTGTAATTCTGTGAATTTTATTTACTAAATGGTGTTATATTTTCGTGTTATATATATCGTATATAAATACTAAGTACTAATGTATTCATGATGATTTCATAGACATTTTGGTGGAATCATTGAAATGCTGAAGCCCATATACTGTGCAAAACTGTTACCTCCGAACTTTTTGAACATATTTTCGGCAGTTTTCTAGAGACAACTTCAATAATTTTTTTGATGTGGCTTATTGATTTAAGTACTTGACTCTGGGATCCATCTTCACTGACTACTTCATCTTGTGCAAAATACTAGTCTCTTTTTGTAATCTTTTATAGAGTAGATAAATATTCAGCGTGCAGTAAAATACTATTGTTACTTAATATTATAAGGTTTTTGAAGCAGAAGAATAACTTTAGTTGTAACAAGATCTAAAATATCAATGATCTCAAACGACCGCTTTTTATTCATTGGATGAGATGTGGTGCTAACTAGAGCTAAAAATATTTCTTGACATTAGCATGTGAAGCTACATCGATTGATGTGGTTACGACACGTGCTACGCATGCCCAGCTATGACTTTCATCGTAGAGCAATGTGAGCTGACATAAAATTAGTTTGGAAAAGATTTAGGGGTAATCCAACAACCATAACTTGGCACCAATCCAAGACAGTTGGTTTAAACCCTTTAGAGATGCTTGGACTGTCTGGCTGACTGGGACCCAAGAAATGCTAAGAACCAAGGGTGTGAAACTGTTGATGGTATGGCTCAAAATCATTCTGAATCGTGCAGATGCACTCACTCTTCATTATCTCTCCTATCCGTTAAACCCTGATATTTTTCCGCGTTAATTTTCCTCATCATCATCAGGGTTCTTTTGAATCTCTTTTATCTAGCTGTTTGTGCTAATATAGAGTATGGCGGTTTGAACAGATACATTTCTGTGCCAAGTTTTACGCTGCAACTCTGTCAGTCTAGCAGACCTTAATGCAGGGAAAATTTTAAGATCATTAATAGAATTCTTAGAGTGAGATTGATCTTTGAAAGATAATCCACTTGAACTATTATAATTGTCATTTGTGCTTCAATAGGAACACTAGTAACTTATTTTCTTCTATTGGACACTAGTAACTAGTGTGGTTTGTCTAATCCTTTCTTTGGTGCACCTTTGGGGACTGATAGAATTCAGTCTGCACCAAAGAAAGGACTAGATACACCACACTAATTACTAGTGTCCAATCAAAGTATCCACTACAGTTCTACAGGAGGTCCAATCGCGAACCCGAATAGCTCAGTGCTAATGTCTCTGACTGCAGCACTGGATGGATGATGCGGGTTCGAATCTCAGAAGGGACATGAGTTCCTCCAAAGTTGCAGATACGCCTTGCTGACTGGTGAGTGCCAACTAGTACGAAACCTAGATCCAAAGCTTCCTGTGGCCAATTGCCTCCAACCATCTAATATCATCAAACTTCTTTTCTACTGTCTGCATTTTTCGTCATTCTCTTATTGTATTGTGGTATCAAGTTTCTCAGCTTTTCGAGTTTGTTTAACTTTTTTTCAATTACGAGTATGTTTTGATACATTTTCAGTCATGGGCCAGTGTTCTTTGCATGCTTTATGACTTCGTCTCTCTGGTTTCATAATAACAATGTATTAATTTCTGTCTCAGCAGGCATAAATATATTATTATCATAATTATGTAACAAAAGAAGTAATAAAGCCCACAGTATACACCATTGACGTTCGAAATTCTCTGCTCGACATTTTAATCTTCATGTGGTAATGTATCTTGGTCTGATTTTTTAAATTTATTGAATAGTCTTAATTGACAAAATGTGATAATGAAATTCTCGCCATTTTCCTTTTTTTATCATGACAGATGGTTCGAATTTTTTATTGACACTAGTGGAAATTATCACTATGAATATGTGTCTTTGTATAGGGTTGAAAAGTACGAGGAATTGGCTGTCTTCCCCTGAAACCTTTTCAGAAAAACCTTTATCCCGGGGAAAGATGTGTGAAATGTCTGTGTTTTTGCAGCACTTTTTTTTCAACTTTAACATTTTGCATTTCTGCGTTAAACTCCCTTTTATACAGATCTGTATTTTTTTTACATTTTTCATTGAATATGTCATTTCTTTCCCCCATGTCAATCTAACTTTCAGATCTGGAGGCATTCCTGCGCGTGATACTAATGGTGATCGCTTGCTACTGTACATTGGTATTATTGACATTCTACAAAGCTATCGTATTCTTAAGAAAATGGAGCATGGATTTAAATCACTTGTTGTTGATGGAGTAAGATAGTTTTTTGTTGTTTGTTTTGTTTTGATGTTATAAATTCTGTCACTTACGAATAAGGTGTATTTTCTTGCGAAATTATGTTTAGGCACACGGAACGAGGAGAAGTCGTTGTATACTATACTGCTAGAATTCTTGCTTATCTCTTTTTTTCCTTCACGTTCCCAGTGGAACATAGGGCTTCAAGCTAGTGGCTTGAAGTTTCTATAGCAGTGTCTAACTTTGCAGGATGGAATTGCTAGCCTCATGCCTAACCTTTCCTCTTTACCAGCATTATTTCTGGCTTAGCGAGGTAAAGGAGAGCGTCCAGTGGCTGGGGATCGAACCTCGGACCATGTGCGTGGTCGGTGAGCGTGCTAGCCGCTATGCCACCAACGCCTTGCTTATCTAAAAGCTGAGAATTTCCCTATGTAACCAAGGTTTTAATAAAATCCATTTTGAAGTAGTTAGTTCGATTTACCATCTAAAATCTCTAGTCCTGATAGATGAATTAGATTTCTTTCTTGTAGCGTAAAATCCATCAGAATTCAGTTAATTACTGAAATCACTGAAACCAGTGCAAAAGCTCTACTTCTTATGGCACCTATTTGTTTGATAATATTTCTTTATTTTTTGTTCTCCAGTGTTTTTGTTTCATGTTTTCATGGTCTATTACTACTATTGCTAAGCTGTTTATTCATCAAAAGATATGGATGACTTTCGCTAATCAGCACTCGCCGAACTTTGAAACAACTTTCTCCTGAAGTTACGTGACTCTCTTCGGTTAATTATGATTAAGCAGAGGTGCATAAGTGCACCACCCCACTTATCGCCTTTATTTGAATCATGTGTTACATATACTGTTTGAACTGCTTTGATGATATCCTCCCCTACGTCAGTCCAGTTGCAGTCAATTTTCTAGATGGAAATAGCCAACAATTGGCACAAGTTTGATGAACGTCCTTTTGCATCATTCGTAGTCGTAAATTAGTTCATATTATTAGAGACTGGCGGTAATCGAAGCTGAATGATATAATACCACTGTTGTAAATATATTAACAGTGTTCATTCGCCCTAGTTGCTCCTTGCTTTTAAATCTTTTATGACTAACAATCAAGAATATTTTCCATTCCTTGCCTTCTAACAAGTAGTTGAGGTCGCTAGTCTGATGTCCAATGTTCGCTCTTTTACTGACTTATTATCGCCTAGTAAGCTAGACGAGATTTAGGAATGCATTGTCTGGTAATCGAATCCCGACTGGCTGCGCGTGTGTGTGTGGTGAGCCACTTACGCTTCTGATTTCTACACTTTTACACAAGTATAGTACTTTGCTTGCGTCTGTAGCACAGGGGTAGAATGCTCGCCAACCACACATGTGGTTCTGGGCTCAATCCACGGCCGACGCACTTCCAAACCTCGCTAAGCCAGTAATAAGACTGGTAAGAAGGAAGGTTGGGCATGAGACTAACAACACTATCCTGTAAAAATAAACATCACTGCTACTGAAGCCACCATAGCTCTACTTGGAACCCTTTGTTCCACTGTGAACGTAAATGAATAAAATAACAATATAATAAAATAGTGTTTCGCTTACAAAAATACCTTAATATGGGCTGAATAATATTGTTTTTTTTAAAAAATATGATATATATTACAAGTTAATTGGTGGATGGTGACTAGCAGTGGAATCCAGGATGTGCATTTAGTCCTGTTTGGGACTCGTCATCTGGATGTACCTGCACTCCACAGTGAGTGATAATGTTCCCACCGAGGCTTGAACCAAGTGCTTAGAGTTCCGAACGCCAAAGCGTGTTATCCACTAGACCACTTTGGCCTAAAGATCCACGTCTTGTGCAACGATATGCAGGTACATCCAGATGACGAGTTCGAAACAGGACTGAATGAGCATCCTGGATTCCACTGCTAGTCACAATCCACCAATTAACTTCTGATTACACGCCCAACGGACATCTCCATCTGAGACCGAGCACTTCGGTTCAATCAATCGACTGGAAAATTAAATGATATATATATATATATATATATATATATATATATATATATATATTACATTTAATCTAATGTTTTAAATCATTTCTGTTTCGAATTGGAGTAGGCTATTATGTTACCTTTTTTGTCCTTTTGTGATTTTATTTATCTTAACATTTTCACTTTAGAAAACCATTTCAGTCACTCATCCATTGTATTATGCTCAACGGTTTCAAGAATTCCTCGGTCGTACGGTATTTAAGCGTATACAGTCGCGTAAGTGGATTGATTTTGCATTTATTTTTCCCTGTCTTTGGAAAAAATAAGCAACTTACCTAACACATTTATGTTTGTCTGTCGGGTGACTGTATTTGTTAAGGAATTTTTTGCTTTCTTTCTTTCTTTCTTTCTGAAATCATTTTCATCAGTCATCAATATAATTAGATTGTCTTTTGTGGTTAACGCTGAAGGCTTTAAACAATTAGGCCATTGTGTTGTTGTATCGATCGATCTATCGATGGACGGCTTATTGTTAACTGTATATTCAACTTCACCTTAAGAGTTTAATATTTACATTGACGACGTTTGATGCCATCTCATAATAATTTATTTTACTGCATGCATTATCTATCTATCAGTAGTAATTGTCATTTAGTGGTGGTCTTTAGAGAATTGGATTAAACGCCTAAAACTCTAATGAAAATGATTGTATTGGAAATTATGTCTATTTAACTGCGTAAACCCTAAGCTGATTTTATCCTATTGTACTGAATTATTATTATTATTATTATATCCTTTCATTCCTAGAAGAACATAGGGCTTCAGCTGCGCGTCTCCATTTCGTTCGGTTCTCTGCCAACTTTTTCACCCCACTCCAAGTCTGCCCACACATGCTTTCATCGCCTCTTCACATCACCTCCTCCAAGTCACCCTTGCACTGACGACTAACTCGCCGCTTCCCTTTCGGGTTGCACTCGAGCAACGGCTTGTCTAGTGATGTCACTTGATGGTTTCCTCAGAGTATGGCCAGCCAACCCATCACCATTTCTTCCTGCATATTTGTTTCACAATCGGTTCCTACTGTGTTGGTTCGCTCATTGCCATAGATCCCACTATGTTGCTGATCTTTTCTGGGCAGCCATCTGATCTTGAGTGGTATTGAGCGAAGACAACTGTTAATGAAGGTCTGTAGTTTGTTTGACATGCTCTTTATGACGCGCTGGCCAAGTCTCTGATCCGTATAGTAAGTAGCAGTGACTGACTTCACATTGGAGTTGAAGATCCGGATGTTATTTTTGATATTGAGTGCTGTTGACCTCCATACAGACTTGAGAGTAATGAAAGCTTGTCTTGCTTTTCTGATCCTGGCTTTGATATCCTCGTCAGTTCCGTCGGCCTGTAGGAGAAACGATGCTTCCTGGGTAGGTAAAGGAGGTTGTTTCTTTCAGGTTCCTCCCATTTATGGTGGCTGATTGTTGTCTGTTGTTGTTGTTATGGCTGTTGGTGTTGCTGTTGGTCAGGAATCTTCATCACCTCTGTTTTATCTATGTTCACCTGAAGTCCTACCTTGTCTGGATGCTTCTTCTGCCAGCTTGTTGCTTTTCACTTGCATATCTTCCAGTTTGTGGGAAATCAGACACATATCATCGGCGAAATCCAGATCCTCGAAGTTGTTTTTTGTGTGAGTTCATTTTATGCCTGTTTCCTCGTGTCCAGTTGTCTCTCTCATTTTCCAATCTACTGCAATCAGGATGATCATTGGCGATAGTAGACAGCCTTGCCTCACTCCTGTCCCCACTTCGAAGTATTCTGTAAGTTTCCCGTTGTGGATTACTTGTCATGCAGCATTATCGCACAACTAACTGTTGGATAAGATGTATAATTGTCGGTGTGTTATCTATTCACGAGCACATCTAGCTAAATAAACTATAAATATTATCTACTTCTTCGAAATATACCTTGATTCGATTGTTAATGATACATCTAAGATCTATATTTGGTTGTTTTTCTTACACTGTCGATTACCGCTGGAATAATCATTAGTTATGTAAATATAGTAGGACTAGTTTATTCATCCCTCTCCCTCTCTCTTTGTTGGTCGTAGTTTTTTATTCATGAACTTCTCCTCTGTTCCTTCCTCCTCAAAACAGTACGAATCGAAATAGATGATTGTTTTATGATAAAGTCCTAAATCCTTACACTTTTAATAGATTTCGTGTTTCACTTGTATTTAGTATGCGTCACATGTAGTGTACATTTCTGCCCATTTGACTAATATATCATATTAGTGTTGTTTGAAAGCCGCAGTGTTTGTTTATCGTGTGACCGAATGAGGTTTGAATCCACCCAATTATCGCTTCAAACTGCTTAAAGAAGTGTAGTCTGCCTTGTTTGCATTAGTAGGTGTCCTTAGTTGTTTATGTTTTGTTTTGCATTCTGTTGTTTGTCTCTTGAGCATATATCACTTAATTGTGAATAGCTTGGTATCATTAAGTGATATTAAGTTGTTACATTTATAAAGTATCTACTAAAAGAGTGGAATGTAATCACGATAGTCCGTGTAAACTTACGATTTATTTTTCTCCAATAAGTGGTGATTTCGCTTGTCACAACATCGTCCTGTAGCCAGCCACTTTATTTATTTAATAAACGCAGAAAAAACTTGGTTCAATATGGCACCAAGAAAGATGCGTCCCAGTAATTTCATTTATTGTGTGTGAGGACTGAGATACTTCCCGATCACCCAGACTGAAGCAGGTTGTTTTATTAAGGGACCATCCCCCGAGCCTTTGACTTGGAGTCTAATCCACAAGGCAGTGGAGCAGCGTCAGGAGCTGCATTCCCATGGTTTCCGGTGACCCATATGGGTTCATACGCCATTCGATCCGATTGGATACTGGAGCCCATTTAACCCATGGTAACTGCTTTTAGTCTAACCGCTATCCAAACGACTTTCCTCACATGGTAGGACCTGCGGGACATGAGTACCAGTCAGTTTAGCTTGTTGGGTTACTGCGGTATTCAAGTCCGATCACCACGGCAAGGTAGCAGTTGTCGACTAGCTGTAGTGAGCATCAGGTTAATTATCAAGACCCAGTTTGTAGGGACTATTTTAATACTCTGACCACACATTGATGTCAGTTAGAGGACCACTGAAAACCAAGGCGAAGTGGTGACCTGTGGGCTCTACCCGGTCGGGCGTGAGGACAAGTACTTGCCGATGGCATTGGCTGGTGCCAGTTGCGCTAAAATCACGAATAGGTAGAAGTTAGGATTCATGGGCTTGCCATTGAGTTGGGTCCTAGTAGCTGCATAATCTACGAGATTGACTTGTAACGGAAAGCTCCTGCGTTGTAGTCCAATAGGTGTGTATTGTCGACTGGTCCCAAACTAAGGTAAAATGGCTCTCCAGCACTTGGTGGTTTTCACTGGTTCTCTAACTGATATCTGTCTGTGGCGAAACTTGATATTAAATTTGCAGCTTTTGGGAAATATGTACCACAGTTGTCAGATAAACATTATTATTATTATTCAATCATTGCTTAATTATAAGGAACTGTTATTTACTGTCTGTCACAGCTAGCTACGATAAATGCCCCTTAATGAAGCTAATTGATGCGGGTTCACGCTTTTATCCAAGGATGGTGAATCCCTTGTTCGTACACTTTGAAGTAACTAATGTCATCCGTCCAGTCTTTCGTTTGTTACAGGCTAAATTCAATCAGTCACGTTTGCAATGTGGCCACCATCCTGAGTAGTTCGCCATTACGGTGCACTTTGAATTGGTGTGTTAGGTGGTTTGAAGCGATTGTCTGGGAGCCTTAGACGTAGGTTTCGTGCTTGTTTGGCACTCAGCAGTCAGGAAGGCGTATCTGCAATGTTGGAGGAACTCATGTCCTTTCTGAGATTCGAACTAGAGTTACACAGTGCTGCAGTCAGAGACTTTACTACTGATAGAATTCAATATGCACTAAAAAAAGCACTGGACACATGACATTGGTTGCTAACTAGTATTCAATCAAAGTAATAAAGTGCTACAGGAGGTCAATAGCGAATAGCTGGCGACTGCTAACAAGCATGAAACCTAGGTCAAAGACCACCTGCTGATTGCCTCAAACCATCGGAGAGTGAATCCCTTAGAGATATAATAGGAAGAAATTCAGAAGCCTTTCCTCTGGTAATTTTATATGTGGTTATACTTTATGTACACAATAGTATTAACACTTCATCTCTTTTTCTTTCCGTTATTATTATAGTTATTACATGCAAATAACTGCCAAATACTAAAATTAGGATTATATTTACTACTGATTGGTTTATATCAGTAGTTGCATACCATTCACATCAACCAGCAGCACCTGATAACTAGATCGAAGTGACCTAAACACCAGATGACCGTTTTGTTCGTTGGCGACTGAGCTCATTAGCGGGGTACCTGGTTTGAATCAGTTCAGGGAAGTGAATCAGTTGAACTGAATTCTGCTGTTTACGGCACTTCAATCTGGCTAGCAAACACGGTATGCAACTCCTCGTACATCAGTCAGAAGTAACTAGGATCCATGCGTTTATGCTTGCTTTCCTAATAAACATTTACGCTACTAAGCAGATCACTTCACTCTTGTGTTATCTGAATGCGACTATCAGCGTATTAAGCGCATTGATACCAAAATTCCATAAAAGTTCTCACACAGCTTGAAGAATTACTAAAAATTAGTCTTAATTCTTTGTTGTGTCTAAATTTAAAAGTGTTGTATTTCTACGAGCTCATGTGTGGTTTATTTCCAGGTATTCAACTCTTGCCACAGACATTCCGGCTTTTGGACAATTCATTCTAAGTGAATCACAACGTTTTCCACTTGAGCTATAAATCTGCTCTGTCACAACTTGAATGAATGCTCAGGCTTAAAAATTATTTTTATCAGGCTCTTTGTGTATATTTTGAAGTCTATAGTGCGTCGGCGGTTAGCGGTGGAATGCTCACCAACCATGCACACGATCCGGGGTTCAAATCCTGGCTGACTCACTCCTTAACCTCATCTAGCCGGTAGTAAATATTCCTTTTCATACACATACTAACAAACATTTAAACAGTCATTGTACCATTGTCATTATATGACTGACCTGTTTTGTCCACATTGTTTTTAAGTATCTATTTGTATGGTTATTCATCACACTCAACTATTTCATTATTACTGTGCTTTCTGCATAAGTTACTTAAAACAGACACCTACACTTGTCTATCAATGTGTGGGAATTTTTTTAATTTTCACAATTAT